AAAAGAAAAAAACAAAAAAACAAACAAAATGAACAAATAAAAAAGGTAAATAAACAAAAAATGACTAAAATACAAAACTAAATAAAATGAAACAAGAAAGCGAAACATAAAATGATAAATAAAATGAAAATTAAGGCTTTTTAGTTTCTCGGACGATTAAGCTCAGGAAGTGACACATAATAGGAGGAATGAAAGTCGGTTGAGTCAACGTCGATTTCGACGATTTCAACCAACATGCCGAAAGGATTTCTCTTTTTGTCATCGATCATCGCGAAACCCAAATTTCAGTGATTGACTTTCTTCTATGCATTCAGCTGGCTGAAAAACAAAGATCGACCTAAGGGTCGACGTGTTGACGTGCACTTCGCTCACCGAGGAAGATGTCATCGTTGTCCGCGTCCATGGCGGTGAGGGTGGCCATGGCCAGCAGCGCGAGGTACGGGCTGTTGACGCCCCCGGGGCCCCCGGGCAGCAGCGGCAAGCTCAGGCACTGCTGGGGGGAGCGCAGGATCTCCCCACACAACATTCCACGGCACGCCTCCTGCAACAGACAAGAAAGTTTGTGGTCAATACATATCGCCGAGCCGAGGACATACGAAGCAGGTTCTAGCAGGAGAAACGAGAAATTTTACAATACAACTATCGAAATAAAACTTAATATTTGTGACCATTGAAGGAACGGAAGTAAAAATATGCATGGGGCTCAAATACTAAAATTTGAGACTTTACCACTCTGTTCATTCTGCAAATCTAACTGTATAACAAGATGACAGTTTAAACTGCAAAACTGTGAAGTTCAACAGTTTGAACTGTCAAACTAGCCCTGAGCGGAAGTGCGCTTCCCCAGCAGTGTCTAAGCTTGCCCGTGCAGATTTATCAGTTGAACTACACGTTTTGCAGTTAGCCTAAAACTAGAACTTCTTAGTTTTGCAGTTTAAAATGTGAGACTAACTTTTGCAGTCGAAACTGTAGAACTTCTTAGTTTCGTAGTTTAAACTGCAAAACTTTTAATCGCGTTTTTGTGTTTCACAAATTTCCCACAGTGCTCAGATACCCCGGCCCGCCAGGCCACTCTCGGTTTGGTCCACATGTCTCCCGGTCCCCGTCCCAGCGGGGCCCTGGGAGGATGCGTTGGCGGCGCTGCCGGCTCTCCAGGATCTCTAGCTCGGCTCCAGCTCAGCTCTGGAGCCGATCGGATCGGG